TGTGTCTTATTTTTTATTTTACTTAAATATTTACATCGATAAAGTTTTTAAATTTTTAATTCTTTTCTTTAATTGTTTTCCTAAAATTTTTAATAAATTTAAATATACTTTTGAACATGTTTTGAAATTTTATTTTTTTATTAAAACTTAAAAATAAAAAATTAAATTTATCATTATTAATTAAGTTAAATGTAAATTTTTTCTAAATTGTTTTTCCATTATCGAAAAATGATATTGTTAAACATTCGCTATTTTATAGTAAGTCTAGAGAATTTGGAACTTACTATTTGGTAACAATTGATATTAAATACTTATATACTACTAGATTTGTGTCATTTCACGTCCCTCCCTGTGACTTACTGGTTCTTATTTTGAACGCTTGTCTAAGCTTGATTTTTTGAACGACTTAATTCAACTTGTGTTGCGAATATCATCTTATAAATTATTTAAACGTGTGTAAGTATAATATAAGTATAATATATAAATATATATTTGTCTTTTCTATAATGGTACATAAAAATATTAGATAAATTTTCAAATAATCAATATTTCACAGACTTATTTCGGAGCCACCATCTTGTTAAACAATTACAGATAAAATTAATTAATATTTTCTTAAATTAAAATTATATACAATTATTATACATCATTTTTATTTGAGATTTTAAAATCAAAATAGTAAAGTATTTTTTATATGGTATAAATAATTAATGCAATAATAAATTTAATGCATTTTTTACATAATTTTTAATTTCTTTAAAGATTCAATTAAAACGCTATTTATATGTATACTATTTTCATATATAATTTTCATAATATAATATCATACTTCTATATGAATAATATATGAAAAAATATATATAAATATATTAAGTATTATTTTATTACTTAATATATGAATAGTAAATGTAGAATAATAAATGTAATTTCATAATTATTTTTTTTTGTAGTTTTCCAAATCTACAATCATGCAGATTTTTGTTAAAACCCTAACTGGAAAAACCATCACTCTTGAAGTTGAAGCTTCAGATACTATAGAGAATGTAAAGGCTAAAATCCAAGATAAAGAAGGAATTCCACCAGATCAACAACGATTGATCTTTGCTGGTAAACAACTTGAAGATGGAAGAACACTCTCAGATTACAATATCCAAAAAGAATCTACACTCCATTTAGTATTAAGACTTCGAGGAGGTATGCAAATCTTTGTCAAAACTCTCACTGGCAAAACCATTACCTTAGAAGTTGAAGCTTCAGACACAATAGAG